AACCGGGAGGGAACAGATCCTGTAATTCAGATATTTGGAGGGGAGAAGCAGATAGCAGCTGGGGAAGAGTTTGGTCTGTTACCTTCTCATTGTAGCTGAAAACAAGTATTTAAAAGAAGAAATACCCTAATCTCATGGTTTTGATGCCTGAAATTAACATTTACACCAAATCATCTGAATGAAATTCCTGTCGAAGAGTTTAACTTCTACATATTATTTTCCTACCTACATCTCAGTTCAATTGTTATTTATGGCAGAGAGATTCCTGTTGGTGTTAGGATGAAGAGTGACTCGGAACCCATCTTGGTTTTGGTTAAAAGTATTCATGAGTTGATGATGTAATAAAAAAAGCAGCTAAATGGATTTAAGTAATTGTTCTGGACACTCATAAGCTAAGGCTCATTTTCCTCTTCTTCTCCATTCTTAATTTTAATTCAGTTGTGAAGCTTTCAAATTAGAGATCTGAAGCAAAGACAGCAAAAGTAATCTTGGTGCAGTTCTACCATTATCCCCAAAGCAAAAGAGTCAGAGGGAGGGAGATTCCAGAGGCTTTTGTTGTGAACATGACACTTAACACTTGTGCTTTCCAAAGAAGTCTGGATAATCCAGGTGTGAGGTGCTCCTGAGAAGAGCGAGCGAGCCTGTGCCACATTCTAATCCTCTCTCTTCTCCCAGAACTCAGTTTTGTGCAGCCAAGCAATCAGCCAGTTCAGGAAACTGATCTGGGCCCAAAGCTAGAAATTAATAATATTCAGTTTAATCAACTTCCTGATGAAGCTGCCTGCAGGGCCCAATGTGCCACGCTGGTGCCAGCACAAGGGGGCAAGTATGCAAGCTTGCAGACAGGGAACAAAAAGGCAAGATCAGCATTAAATCAGTCTGACCGTGAAACTGCACTTCAGGTCTAATAAACCACATAATGAATTGCTGTTCAAAGCGCTGGTATAAAAACCTGTAATGTGTGCCCAAAGCAGAGCTGTATTCAGAAGCCGCTGGCAAAGACTGGCTGGCAGGGGATGTGTCCCAGCAGTAAAATGTCTTTTTACAGCTGCACTATTGGAGACACATCCATCCCATACCTGCAGCAGTGAGGGACTACTGTCAGTGCAGCGAGGTGCTGCATGAGTGATGGCTCCTCACTGGCCACACATGGGTACACGGGCGCCCCTTCTCTCAGTGGGTGCACCTGCAGTTACTCTCCATGCAAATTCCTCTACCTGGTCTCTTGAGCATACTCTGGGGGCCCTTCTACAATTCACTTCAAACACTTTCCCAGATGGCAACTCCACAACCCAGATGTTGTTTATTCATTTGTCACTTTAAAAGGAACACAATACCAAGAAAAGAAAGGAGCGAGACATGTTTGTTCTCCATTGAAGGAAAAAGAAGGGGACTTTGACATTGGAGTTTCCTGCACGTGCATTCTTGAGGTCAAGAAGGTTGTCACAAACTGCTGTTCTTCTCTGAAAAGAACCTTTCCCATTCTTTTTCTACTAGAAGGCTTCTGCCAGTGAGAAGCTGGGCTTTAGAAACTCCATTCCTAAAAAGATGTCAGTGCTGTAGGTGCTCAACAGGAGCCATTTACATGCTGTATCTGGGATACTTCTCTTTGCTTATGACTGAGTTATTAACGTGGTTGTGACAGCCTGTGGTTGAAACCCATGAGTGTCTCTGTAATGCCTCTGTGAGGTGTGACCCTGCTCCTGGTGGTTCTTCCATGGGGTTAAAATAGGCATAGTTTGTAGACATGCTGCGGTGGCTGTGCATCACATTAGATGTAGGAAGCTAAAGAATGTTGTCATTTCATTTTCAGGGAGCTATTTCAAAGGGGCAGTTAGCAATCCCCTATCAACAGCCCTGTCAGATCATAGCATCTCTTATTAATACTGCAGAGTGTCTATGAGATCAGCCTTTTGCAAGAGCTCAAATAGTAGTGAGTGAAGAAACCTTGGGTGCAAAAATTCAAGCAGCAGCAGCCTTTCCTCTGGGGCATTTTGGACCATTCAGTTCTCCAGGGCATTCAAGACCTTTTCTACCACACTGCTTTGCCAAATAATGGAACTTGGAGAATCGCACAGCTCTTTCGAAGTGTTGCTAAAGAGATTGAGGAGGACTTGGGCTGCAATCAGTCTCTTTAATGGTATTACTAGAAAGATTGTATCTCTTGTCCATTCACGTGTCAGGAAATGTTTTTATAGCAGATCTAGCTATGGAACGTTTGTCATCCAAGACTAAATATAATAGAAAACCTGGTACCTCACAATGCAACAGGCAGTTCTCTCTCCTCTGAATGGACATAGGGGTTCAAGCTGACTGTGGTCTGTGACACTTTTGTCTATTGATGTGTGGCTCATTTTCTAGGCTGGAAATAGATGTGTTACTGTCTGAACGAACACATGTCAAAGAGATTGTCCGCTCTTCTATTTGGTTGGCTCCTACAAGATCTATAATAGCCACACTTGTTTGCTTACAGATACAAGGGTTGATGCATTTGTTTCCTCTGTACTGCCCATCACAGCAGCAGTTGGAGTAAATTTCCATCTTGTGTTTAGCAATGCTCAGAGCCCGAAGAGAAGTTTTAATTGAGCTTGCAGAAGTTTTCTTTTGTTGGGAAATTGTTCACATTCGTTTGTTGAAGCATCTTCTAGGAGCGCTCACAGGCAATTTCAGGCTTTGACAGGATGGAGCTTATTAACTTCCACCCAAGCTAAATGTCAATTTACATACTAATGTCAATTTTCTTTTACCTTTGTGTCCCCAGTTCCATTTTTTAGAAAACCAAATGCTCAAAGTAATTTTTCATCCATGAAATCACAACAGTTAAGAAACAGGCCCCAGATGTATTCCTCCAATTGGAGCTATTATACAAGGCACTGCAAACAGCAGCTTGCTCTCGAACTGCTGTGGAGGAGAAAGCGGCTCTTGAAGGAATTCTGGTAAAAGTAAAGAACTTAAATGTACTAAAAACGGATTAAATATGTGAAAATTCCGGAGAACACTGAATGGGTTTTTTCAATGTTAGATCATCAGAACCAATCCATCTGTAATTGGTAATTAAAAAGATGAATAGCAATGGGGAAGGAGGCAGTGAATAACAACAAAAGAGGAGAGACCATATTTCTCCTTTTGCAGCGCATGCACATAGGAGGTAAATCCATAAGACAAAAAAAATAGGAAATCTTTTTTGCATCCATATAATAAACATGCCAAACTTGCTCCCCAGAGGTGTAGTTAACAGGAGTTGGTTCCCATTAATTTAAATGTCACACCTCTCTGGGCAGAGATTATAATATTATTTTTAAAGGAAATTTAGCAGTCAAAGGGTTGTGCCATGAGCTGAGGAACAGCCAAAAGGGAAATATAAGAAAGGATTTAAAAAACATTTTCCATAACTAATTTCTTGCGTTTCTCACATCTTTCTTTGAAGCAGTTTGTGATGCTTGTTCTTAAGGTTTGTGATGTTCTTCAGGTGGGATTTTATTCTAGGAAGACTTTGTTACTTTTCTGCTGTATTTAATAAATAAATTTCCTCAAGCTGTATTTGTGGTTTATATTCCTTATGAAAAGATTAATTCTGCTGTATTTCACTGGCTATTGGAAAAGTCAAAGGAACGTGTTGCCAGGATAACAAAGAATATGTGTGCCAGAGGAGATTCAGCATTCATTCAGACAAGAAACAAAAACGTACCAACTCATTGGCCTCTAGCAGCAACCCAGTAAGGCTTGCAAAGCAAACATTTCATATTCATAGAAATACTAGCAACTGGCTTTAAGTTTACAGAGTGCAGCAAGGAAGGGAGCCCTGTTTTGATCAAGTCAGGAGGTGGCATTTTCTCTTTTCAATGAAAATTTCAAAAAGAGAGCTATGTAAGTGTAACACTAGAGTCACTATGGAGGGCTGTATTTCTGCTCCCATGTAAATCACAAGGGATTTACCATGATCATGACATTTTTGGTCTTTGAAAACTTCCATCCAAATATACAAGAGGAGATTTGCTGCTTCTTATTATTGCTTTCCTTCAATAGGACTCAAAGCTTTGCTGGTATTTGTAGATTAGTGAGTGCTTCCAAAGAAATAAATTAATAAACTCAGCCAAGGAATATTTGCACCACTGAGCACTACTTCATATATTCCTTGTACACATGCCAAGAACTAGGAGGAAGCTTTCTTGACCATGGAGCAGATTCTTACAGGTAAGGTGAGAGGGGAGGTAAAGCAGCATGACTAAATTCTTCCATTTTTGCATTAATAGCTTCTGGTCCTGGTCCAGTTCCCTGTGATGCAATTTCTAGGTTATGGAGTGTGTATGATATATATTTTTGTCACCTTAGAAACGTGAAAATACTTACTAACTGGCTAAAGAACTTCATGGTGACTGAAGAGCAGCTAAAAGCAACCTGAAGTTTATAGACCTAAGCATGGTAGAAGGTGCAGATGAAATAGCTGCATATGCAGATTAGCACATTTACATAACTTGCTGACAGCACCAGCCAGCTACTGCATTCTGCACAGGATGAAATAACCTTGGGTTTTAAGTCATTGCAGGTGATGTGACAAGGTTCACCTTCTGTGTAGCTCTGGCCATCAGGCAAGATCTCTAATCTAGTAAGTGTGCTGACTTGTTTTGTGAATATCACACCTGGAAGTGTTTGGTAAACTCTTAGTGTTGGGTTTACTGTAGGTACATTTAAAAACCTTTGTTTCACTGTGCATCTGTGTGAGTGTTCCAACATTAACGTATGGATATAGCTTGAAGACAATGTTCTGCAATTAAAAATCATATATAGGAGAGTCACAAAATGAATATCTGACAAAATGTGATGAGAAAAATAAGCTCTGAAAAAGTAGGAGGACAGCACAGAAATAAAAACCCCTTTTTATTTTCAGATAGACGTGCAAAACTGCTGTTAGCCCCATCAAGTGACAGTAGGTGATAGGCCGAGACGCCTCTTAGTTGCTTTATGCGAGGAACGAATGCTCCCATGCTCCCAGAAGATAATTCCAGTCTGATCTCCAGAACAGACAAGGTTTGGCCAAACTCCAAATTAATCTCTTTTTAAAAAATGCTTATTGCATATAATGTCAGAAAAAAAGTTTAACAAATCTCATTTCCCCTTTTAAGTTGTTCCATGATGAATATGGAAAGTGAAGACACAGGGGAGAAGTCCACAGCCCTTTACAGATCTGAGTCGATTATACATACATTATTTATATTGCAGACTGAGGTGAGATTTTGGGTTGTTGAGCACTGAATTTTTACAGTAGAGTGCAACGAAATTATTCAAACCAGGTGTTTCTGTAATTGCAGTGCACAAGGGACAGTGCTGGGAGCTGAACAGATCCCAAATTTACCCTTTCAGCTGAATGATGCAGTGGTTTAGTGTTAGTACACAAGGCAATAAAATAAATTGCATTGGAAAACAAGGCAGGCTGGCTGGCTCTAAACTGCTGAATTTTGATTGCACTTGGTGCCTTTATCTTTTGTTTGCATTCGTTTAGGCCTTTATACCAGTATATGATATGAAGAGATGAACCTGTCCATTAAAACTGAGGTAAAACTACTGGTAATGGCTAAAATTCAGTAACTACAACATGCCCTCTACTCTCATCATTGTCCTAATATGTAGCATTCAGCAAGTGATATATCGATACCCTGTCACAGGGTTATTTGCCTCCTTGCTCTGCATAAGGAGAAAGGAAAGCAACAAGGAAAGAAAAAATTGAAAAATCAAGTGTTCATAAATTGCAAAACATCAAGTAATGCTCTGCTTTAAGTACATTTTAATGCATTGCCACAAGGTATTTGCACATAGGCTAAGCTGCTTAATGCAAGTCTGATTTCTTCTAGAAATATAAAGCACAGATTTCCCCCATACCAATGTGGGTTATGTATGTGCACCCATTTTTCTAAAGAGAGCTGTATGTGAACTGCAGTATTGCAATGCCAGTGATGTCTTGGTCTTTTTAATAAGGCATTTATGGATATTTTCAGTGAAAATACTATCTCTTGTTGGAGTTTTTCATTTGATGCTTCAACTGGGTCTTTCTGACACAATGAGACCTCTGATTTTTGATACCTGTTTTATACAGCCTGTGTTTATCGTTCCCAAGTAATATTGGAAAGAGCAGAAAAGTACAGAGAAAGCAATCCATGAAATAGGTCTCTGGAAGACAAGAAAAGATCATTAAACCTTTTAAAGTTTGGCAAACTGAATCACAGATCTTACAAGATAGTGGCTAAGATGTCACCAAGCTTAAAAGTGAACAAAAATTAATTTAGCTGCTGCTGCTAATATGACTTTGGCTTATCTTTGAGATCCTTCTTGAATACCTTTAATTAATTGACACAATTTATTTGAAATTGGATTATCATGAGGTTTTTCTTTCCTGCCTATTTCAGAAAGATTTAATACAGTTGCTTGACAAAATCTACAGGACTACAGTAAATGAAATTACTGTTGAGGTGTGGAGGAAGAGTTGTTTTGTTCCTATGCATGAGATCCAGCTCCACAGAGGATTTTATCCTTTTTCAGAGCCAGGACAAAAGCTATGCAGGGTTTAGTTCTATTTAGATATCTGGCTCTTGCATATGATGTGATTTCAATGTGCTGAGTAAAAGGCATTTTGAGAAAATAGAAGTATGGGTTTTACGTGTGTGCTCCTTACTGGACTAAAAATTTCTCAACGGGTACCATGACTGAATGTGACAGGAGCTCTCTTCTCTCTTTCAACATGCTGAGGTCTTCAGACAGATTCAGTTGTTACACTGTGTATGCCATCAAATCCTGAAAATAATAATGCTGCGATGCTGCCCCATGTGGAACTTTAGCAGCTAGAAAGGAAGATGCAGCAGACTCTATGTAGTCTGAGAAAAAATTGGTTAAGTTTTATAAGTGGACAACCCTAATATACCGTACGGACTGTTCTAGGCTAACTGGATATTAACAGCTATACTCTCTTTTATTAGCATGACAAAAATACTATTTAATACTGCAGGGAAAATAGACTTCTATTGGCTGTGGGGAAAAATATGCAACCCTTGTTTCACCTATAAATTAATGTTCTCTCATAATTTTAAACAGTTTTCTTACAGTAACAAAGTAAAGTTTTACTTGTATAACAAAGTAAAAAACGTTCTTTCCATTCAGCATTTACTTGAGACATGGAGCACCAAAGGGCTCAGGGAATTGAACGTTGTCATTTGAAGGCTATTGCAAATGCAAGAGCTACCACTCCTGTCAATTAACTGTGTGGGGAATATGTTGTAGGTGCCCAAGTGTGGTACCTGCAAATGGCTGGTATGAACACTCCCCATTTCCCAGGGAGTATTCCTAGCCTGCATACAGCATGATTTGCAGTCTCTGCGTTGAACATCTTTGCTTTTGCTTGCTGGTGGGAAACTAAAAGTTCAGCTGAATGCTGTGTGCCTCAGCAGAGATATTAATTCTCCTCCAGAATCCTCATAAAACATTATGAAGACAGTCTTGCAGGCAGGCATTACCCTTGGGCTGCGGAGCTTGTGATGCTTGCTGTGCCTCAGTTCTTGCTGCTCACAGGAGCAGGTCACTGATGGGCATCTTCAGTCCTCCAAGTGCAGGAGGCAGCTGATGTTATCTCAGTGAAGGTCACTGATTTGATCCTAGAACAGGTGTTCAGATTCTAGGGATGCAGGAGCTACTAGGAAAGAGTATTAGCCTTTAATACGAGGGTGAAAGCTGTGTTTAAGAAACATCCACAGAATATGCAGAAAGTGCAAATGTGAGAAAACCCTTACAGAAGCCACAGCAATGCATATGACAGGTTAGGGATGTATGCTCAAGAGGCTACTGCATGGTCCAAATTCTATAAGCTGTATCTGTCAGATATCCAGAACCAATAAGGGAAGGCAAATCTAAGAAGCCTGAGGCGCTCAACAAACAAAGTTTATATCACAAAGCTTAGGAGCTGAGGGCCTGGCACAGTGCAAATATTCATTGCCTTTTTCTCACCTTGTTCTCTGGAAAAGCAGGGCAGAACAGTAGGCAAGGAATGTGTATATATGGGGGAATATTTAAAGGAGAACAAATAAGAAGCCAGGGGATGTGATTATTCACAAAAAAAAAAAAGAGAACCAAATAAAAACAGGAATAAAAGCTGTCACTTGGGGTGACAGATGGATGTCAAAGGAAATGTAACAGTGAAAGCAAATAATGCTTTCTACCTTGACAGTATCTCTCTCTTCTACTCTCAATCCAATTATAACATTTTTTCCTTTGTCTCACTGATCTTTTTATAATGAAGAAATAGTTCATCTGACTTAGCTGGTTCCCAAACACTGGTCGGAGTAGTGCTTCCAGCAAAATACTGAAAAATGTGCTTAATTTGAAATTTAGCTGTAATGGTGTTACTCATATGCTTAACATCAAGCATGCACTTAAGTGCTTTGCTAAATGAGGCCCAGTATTTACACTTTCAGGGGTTCCATATCCTAAAAAGAAATTAATGTGCTAACCACGTAACACATTAAGTTTGCATAGTATATGAAATACTACTGCAGGGATTTGACAGGCTAATTTCATTGTAAATAAGGAGGATTAATTCAAACCTCATTGGTATGATTGAAAAGATTCCTAGTGATTCCCATAGTTCATGCATATTGAACAGAAGAGTTAGATAAATGTTCCCTAGAAAAAGTGGGAGGTTCTTATAAGCTACAAAACAACAGATGTCTTTGCTCTATAGCAATCATTTCATTTGTGGTATTTCTGCAGTAGGACTCTGCCCATGATGATTTAAATGACAGCATCTGTGGAGGCCTTAAAAAGAGTCTTCACTGCATTAACTTTATGTGGCAATGTTACACCTGAACTGAGCCCATTTCCTGGGCAGAATTAGGTAAGACGTGGGCCTGGCACAAAGCACAACAGGAACATCAGTGGAACTCCAGTCACAAAATGCAGAACATACGTGGAGATGTTTATACAGTTCATTCTTGCTGGTTTTAGCTGCTGAGAAGGCTTTGTACGTAGTTTTTCTGTATGCTACACTGTTGCACTGGCCAGGGACTGCTTTATTTCTGGATTAGCTATCAACAAAATCTTGTAAGGAAGCTCTGGGGTATTATTTTTCTAAATAAAACAATAGCAATGAGGTAGGCAAATATAAGCTACAGTTACCGTGCATCTCTTGCAATCTTCAACATCTGAAGCTGTTACAAGGATACCCTTAGTTTGGTGTTTGTAATGAAGAGCCCATTATCTGTCTTTATTTTTCTCTTGAGTTCTGTTTTCACATGCACCTGATGGCTTTGCTGGGGATCTGAGCTGTGTTATACTTTGAAAAGCAGATCACAATTCTGAAATCAGTTCTCTCCTTATAGCAGTTAAGATGGCACTGGGAACAACATGAAATGGGAGAACTGGGGGAAGGAAATTTTTTTTCTATGTGGGAAACCCCTAAACAAACCAAAAAGCTTTTGTAATTGATCTGAGAATCACTGTTTTCTGAACTGAGCCAGCTTATCTCTAGAGAAGGGTTCACAGTGTTATTGCTTCCTCTGCCTCTTTACTCCTTCCTTGGTTTCTTTCTGTTAAGAAATTTTTAACATCTCTTTTCAATTCATTTCTAGTTCCTGAGACCTGAGTTGGTATTTTTATCTGTACAATACCCAGATTAATTCACAAAATGAGACCCACTGCATGTACGTAACTCAGCTGGCAAGGCTGTAAAAGCTGCAGGAAGATGATGAGGGCTTTGGCAATTGGTTATTTATTTGAGGCATTTGAAAATCCTAATGGCTCCATTAAGAATACAAATACTGTTCATCTGTTTGCTGCACAGTGTCACAGGGAAGTGCCTTTACAAAGAATTTAAACGAAGGATAGGGTAGTAACTGTGTCTTATTGGCTTGATTTTTACAAACCTCAATGCTGTTAGTCAGAGAGGATGGTGTTGTTAGGCCAGTTTAATTACATCCAGGACTGGAACTATAGTTTATGTGAAATCCTTCATTCATGAGAAGGCTGTGTGCTGGTGTATGTGCACTCAGTGTACACAGTCTGTTGAAACTCTTACTGGACAGAAACATGCTCCGAACTACCAGGCACTGTACTGACAAAACCTCCCTGCTCATCAGGAATAATGCTTCTTTCTGGACTCAGCCCAGGAGCTGACTGCTGTCAGCCCTCACAGATCACAGTGGGAGCTGCTGCTTTGGTACTGCTGGTGGGAGACAGCACCACTTCCCATGTACGGATGTGTTGTCTTTCAAGTTCTGTGCTGGAGCCCCACATTCTCTGCTTGCATTTTTGGTGATAATAACATTAATATGCAAACCATGCAGGTTGTGCTAAGTAGTTCCAGAGCTATTTACTAGCAGGCATATGTAACATCAGATGAGGCTTCTAAAAGTATTCTTTTAAAGTGAGTGTGCTTTTAAAAATACTGCCTATAATTCTGCTGCAGCTTTCTTGGTTTGTATATGTAGAACTGACAGAGTCATGTCGTTTGTTAGCTAAAACTGCCCTATTATGTATATTCTTCTTACTCCTCTGAAAAATCACAACTGTTGTATATTCCAAGGAGACACATTTTGGAAAAAACCAATAACATTTAAATTGTATTTTATTTTTAAAAGTGTTATATAGTGAGCTATATTTTTTCCATTTTAATTGGGAAACTTTTGTAGCAGAAAGTTGTAAACTACCAGGATTCCAAAACAACCATAAAATGCACAACATCTGAAGCCGTATTGCTGTAAATGAATCAGATACTGTAATCAAGCCTTTTTACACCTTAGAAATAGATAGGTAGCTAACTTACCTTCTTCCTCAGTTTTACATTCATTGGAGATCAACACTGGAAAATAAACTCTTCTTTGGATCACTTATATTCCTTCTGTCACAGACTGGATGTTCACATACACGTCATGGACATTGCCAGTTGTCACATGTGAAGGCTGACACACAACTGGGGAAAATGAAGATGAGATGAGGTGTGCATTGCAGACTGGCATGCAACCTCTGTGTTTGTGTGTGTATCTGCACAGCTATTTTCATTAGCCAACCAAGACATTTTTAGGTTTCAAATCTAGTAATCTCTGCAAGGTGCTGTAGAAATTATTTCTCCAGTTTTCTACTGAAATGTGTATTGTAATGGAGCGTGTTAATGGGTTATTTACAGCTGCTGGTTTTGCTGCACTTCAGAAACCAAAGCTACTGTTTAAAAATCTTCATCCAGGCATTGAAGCCTTGCCTTAGAGGCCCATTTAAAATACTTCTGCTTTTATTTTTTTTCCCCAGAAATTAATGTGTTAGATATGGAGTAACAAGCCAGAAAGAGCATTTATGACTATCTAGTCTGGCCTACTGCAATGTAAGCTGTAGATTTCACTCATAACTCTGATTCATGGATGTCCATAAAATAAATAATGTGACATCACTCAAATTCAGCTTAAGATGTTCTCAGTGCATATTACTTAGAAATGAAGGATTTCTTTGTGAAGATTAAAGTTAACATTTTCAAAGGGAGGAAGAGAAGCAGTTGGAAAGGAGGAAGCAAAGCAGCATTCACAGTATTCATTTACCATGTCAGTAATTCAGATTATCTGTGTGTATCAAGTAGCCCAAGAAGTCTGAGATCAATTGCTCTGCACATCTTTACAGGATGTAGCAGTAGGAAATTCCCTGTTTTTAACCTTCCAGATTTGAAGATCCAAATCCCTGCCAGCAATGGGAAAAGCAGCAACAGAAGATCCGTAAGGAATGATGAACACACGCCCCCCTCCCCCTTCTCTGTATTGTTTTCCCGCTGGCAGAGAAGTTTTTTCCTCTTCCAGACACACTTTGTTCAGATTGTTGGGTAAGAAAGACCAGACTTTTGTGCTAGCAGGAACAATCCAGTCTGAACGAGCACAGATAACAGCCCCGAATGACCCAGCCTCTTAACATCCATCCATTAATAAAACTATAGGAAACAGTGCTGTGTCAAAACAACAGCACTAAGTTGCTTTGCTGGATAAATCTGAATGAGAGAGGATGGACGCTGTTGGAAAACATGACAAGAATAAAAGGAAAGAGCTGTTTTCCTCCATCAACCATTTGATTTTGGGATTTACATTGTATTTCATCCACAGCTAATTAAGGTTAGCTCCAGTGGTAATCACTAGTTTCTGTGTTAACGAGAAAAGCAGTCATTAGGAATAAAATGATCCTTGTGGATCTATTAGGATTTGTAGCCCTAGCCCCTTTTCAGTCTGTTGGATAAAAAGAATATAACTAATGCAGTATGATACGTCTAATCCAATTGGACGACTTCTCTGGTTGTTTTCACTTAATTGATGTGTTAAAATATCTGCACTTACCATCTGCAGGAGGCACTGGAATGACTTGACATCATCAGAAACCCACACCTAGCTGGTGTTAAAAGATAGGCTGTAAGGCTGGCTATCAGGTAACCCTTGCTCCTGGGAATCTTCTTTGCTATTTGCATGGTTTTTTAGTAACAGAAGTCATAAGAAAAACCTTGAGATCAGAAACCACAATGCTGTATATATTTTGGAAGCCAAGTAAAACCCTAATCCTGAAATAAAACTTAACAGACATAGAAGAGGATATAAGGATAATTCATCTGTGCAGAGTGGAATCAAAGATTTTTCTGGTGTTTATTACCATCCTAACTTGGTTTTCACTAGAGAAAAAATGAACTTTTTCCTGTATTTGATTTGAATTAGAGCATTTTGGAAAGGCTGATGTACTTCCACTGGGACCAGTTCTGTGTTTCTCTAAGGAGAGTGGTGTGAACCATTCTGCCCATGTAAAGACCCATTTTTTCTAAAGCATCCATTTAATTTGGAAGCATAGGAACTTTGAAAGTACCATATAGATGGTTTTCCCATAAACGAACTTTTAACTAACAGAGAAAGTTCTGTTCTGGTAATTTTGGGGCCTTCCATCTGCACATGTACCCAAGTGTTCCTACTGTTTTTCCTATTAGCGCTTACTGGAAGCTTTGCTTGCCTGCAGCAGAAGTGTGTGTCCATTGTATACCCCTGCAGAGGAATAATGAGAAAAACCTTTTAAAATGGAATAACAGAATTAAGAAACAAATGCAACAGAGCTCAGTGGGAAACGAGGACATATGAGGATCCTCTCATAGCATAGAGAAAACAGAAGAAAGAAGGTTAACTAGGTTAAAAATCAATTTCTCTAATACAATATAAGAAATGCAATCTAAGCTTAATTTTCACCAAAGATTTGTTATGCACTTGGCAAGCAAATATGGATTTTTATGAGCATTCTGTTTCAATTTTATGTGCAAGTGACATTTGGCAGCACTAACTGAAATGCAGCATGACTTTCACAGTTATTTCTGTTCATTGTTTTGGTTGCTTGTCACCAACTTCTGGTTCTCTCTTCGGCTTTGCTTATGAACATTCTTAAAGACATGTTAACTCTTCAGTTGCCTCCGATTGCTGGTCTAATTTTTTGACTTACAAGAATGTAGATCTTATGGGACATGTATTTATTAATGCAATTTGAAACCTTGAGAAAAAAAAACACTTGAGTGGTTTTGATCAAATTCCCATCTGACCATTTGATGTCAATGAAAATGTCATGTTGGGTCCACATAAAAGCAACCTGTAGGAAGCCAGTGCTAAGCATTTATATTGGCATTGGGGGATTTATTTTGTCTTTTTAAGAATGATGTCTAAAATGATATGCACTGTGAAGATGAGGTAACTTTAAATGGGATTTATATACCCAGAGGGGCTGAACAGAGCTGCAGAGATATATTTATGGAAGTGGGGTCCAGGCAGTGTTAATGGCAAATGAAAGAGCTGTGACCCTCTTAGACTCTCATTATGTTCACACCATGACACAGAGTTGCCAGGAGTGTGGCAACTGAAATCACAGTATTCCTAAATGCAGTGAAATTCTTGCTCTTAATGACGAACCCAGGATTTCATCCGTTCTCTGTATTCATTAAAATCACTAAAATTCCCTTCCAAACAAATATGTAGAGAAAAGTGATCGTTTTGTTATGTTTTCATTTTTTCCTGGTTTAGCTTCTTCAGAAAGATGAGTGCTTAAAGGTGCAGTGTCTGGGCAGCTTCACAATGATGTCAAATCATACAATAGCTGAGTTAGTACACAGTGTACCGCTTGGGTAAAAACTGTGTTGTTTTCTCTGTGAGAGCAGGGGTTGTCGTTGTTTGACAGTCCAGAAAACCCCATGATGGTACTTCTGATTGAGGGATAGTAGAAACTCAGAATTCTTTGTTTCAGATTGGATGAAACTTGAGAGGATACATGATTTCTCTCTTTTATACATGAATAAAACCAGATTGTTATTTGATTGAGGTTTTACAGTGAGCTAGTAATGAAATTAAATGTCTAATACATTGAAATATGACTGTGAGTGTACTTTTCTATCTATATACATCCCCATAAAAAAGCAGGAGCTTACCAGAATCTTTTTAATGTCTTTCCTTAGAGAATCACTGAAAGACAGCCTGTGTGATCCATTATGGAGAGATCACAGACAGCCAAGACTTCTGGCCACTGATCATTTAAACTTGTAGTGTTCCGGGGAAATTAATCAGGTGCTTACATATCCCAGGCTAGCACACTGGTTTCTAAACCATTTCTTTTCTTTCCTGGGTCCTATTCTGCCTCCTACATAAATCAGTGTGAAAACTCCAGTTTGCTGCTATCAGATCTGTGCTGAGTGGATTTTAAGCTTTGAATTACGCATGCCTGTGAGCAAACATTGCCTTTCCCTCTGATGGCACCGTGTCAGTTGTAACAAGGCTCTAAGTGTCTGCCCAAACCTTGAGCCCCATCCCAGCCAAAATAAATCCTTTACAATGCTATTTCTCACTGTGTATAACATTATTCTCTAAAAAACTTCCAGTTTTGCTTCCACAGCCTAATTGGAGTTAAATGACTTGAATATTTACCTTTTTTTCTGTCACTGGAGGCAATTAAGAACTATGACTGAGTGTCACAAAATGATAAATGTTTCCTGGGTGAGAATTAGCAGAGTAGCCCAGCCTGCCTTCACCTCAGAGAGCATAGAAGTTCAGGGAGGGGGTTGTCATCAGTGACTTAGAAAAAAACAAGAGGAAATTGAAGCTGAATTTTGGTCTGGCAGACAGAGTCTAGACAGGTCTCCTGCATCAACAGAAAGATGAGATAAATATTAAAGAAATATTATTCAGCCTAAAACAAGATCTAGATGCAGCTGTTGGAAGCGGTGATTTTATTCAGAGGCTTGTAGAAGAGTTGTGTAGTTAACAGCATGCAGTGGAAGAGATATGATTCGTTTCACAATGAACCCCAAGTGCCAGGTATTTTATTACCCTTACACAGGGAGTTACTTCCAGAGGTAGTAAATTTTTCATTTAAGCATCCTTTGTTGGCTATAATCCCTTTGATTTCTTTCTTTAATTAAATCATAGTTTTTCTGGCTGTTTTTCCTTTGTTCTATTTAACCACTCACAATCTTTTAACAGTGATAGGCAGAGAACAAATAAATGCCTGGCAAATATACCTTGGCAGCAAAGCCAACCATAGTAAATCCTGTGACTTAAATACCAAGTTGTACTCTGAAGGATATTTATAGCATTTAGCCACCCCAGAAAACAGCTCTGAAAACTCTAATCTCTCCCAGAATCCCAGATTAGATACAGTAATATGATAGGAGAGAGATAGAGTGTTCAAGAATAGATTTTCTTCTGTATATTGAATCTTTGGTTAGTATCCTTCCTGGCAGCTTATACAATTTGAATGTGGCAGCAGTATTTCTGTAGGTACAGTCTCTGGGTGTAAGTTCTGTCTCATGTTTTATCTAATTATCATGTTTATCTAGTGTTGTTACCAGATAGCTTGTGTTCATTATGATTATTGTTTCTTTATCAGTAATGCTGTGTTGGGTTAATGCTGCTTCTGCAGGCAGAAGGAAAAAGATGGTTAATCTCAGAGCAACAAAGACACTAGTTGAACCATAATGTTAAAAATTAATTATGTATTTGGTATTGAATGTAGGATATAACTAACTTAAAAACCAAAGGCTCATCTGGTCATCTATCACCAGTCAGTGATGTGTATTCTCTGTGAAATGAAGTGTCCATCAGCACACGGATAATAAAATTCTGAATTTTGCATTCTGAATGAATTTGTAGTGGTTTTGACATTTATTTTGACAGAGAACAGTTAACTTAGAGTCAAGTTTTTAATCAATAGATGAACGATCATGTTCTTGTGAATTGTTTGCAAGCAATTAAAGGCATTTTGATTAAATTGTTTGCATGTTTTTAATGTTCTGTTATAAATGATTTTTTGGATGACTGATTTACTAGATCAGGTGTTTAAAGATTTGTAATCATACAATTTTTTGATTTTCACTGTAATGAGCGAGGGAGGGGGAATCATGCTTAGATCGTCAATGGTATGGAATACACCTTTGGCTTGTTTGGGTCAGGTGTCCTGTCCCTGCTTCTTTCCAGTGCTTCAGAAGAGCTTCTAGGCTTCAGGCTTCCTTGAAAACAAAGGTTTGCAGGGAATACCCACATTAGTGCCTTTTAAAATAATTTCCTTGTAACATGTTAAATTAAACTTTTTTTTTTTTTAAATTATCCATTGCCTCTAAACTGGTTTATATGATTGGAATTCATTATAACAAACAAAGTTATTTCTGCTATTTGGTTATTTAACTCGTAACTAGAACATCTGCTTCATGTAATAGGAAGGTTACAGCTGCATTAACTCGATTATACTATTA